GGCGATATTTGAAAGCTATTGCAGGTAACCCTCTGCTCAGTATGAAAAAAATTGAAAACTGATTTTTTTTAAAAGTTGATGAATCCTTCAGTTGTTCTTTAGCTGGTATTGTCAATGTATATGCAGATAAAAGATGGTGATTGTGAGGGTAAAACTGTGTAGTGGTGGTGGGGTTCCTTCTCATGTTGAACAAAAGTTTTAATACGTGTTTAAAAAACAGATGGACATACACAGATGTTATTTAGAGGATGGTTGTGTGACATCAGGGTATTTTGGTTCTGAGTTCCTGGGACATGCGAGAGCAGATGACCTGTTGCTGATAGCACTGCTCTTCCTACACATAATGAAAACACTTGCCTTGAATTTAGGGTTAAATAACAAATAATTGTATATAGATGAGTGTTTCATTAAGGCAAAGAAATAACTATGTATCCAGTAACATTAATAATAGGCTGAAGCAGTTGCCGCTACAGTTTCAACTTTGAAGCCGTGCTGGTATTAAAAAATATTGGGATTACATTGGTATTAAAAGGTATTAAACTTAACTTCAGAATTTCTGTATATACCCTGTTTTCGCTCAGTATCTGTAAAGTTTACAGCTCTAACCACGCTTGTGTTAGCTGGGGCAGCTATGTTGAAATGGGTTGATTTGTATTTTCAATAAAATTTGGTCAGTGAGCCTTGAAATTCTGCAAACACGACAGAAACACAATGYATCACCTGTCAGTGGTGGGAAACAAACAACTGTAATTATTGGCAAATTGATTAAAAATCAAACAGAGGAAAAAGAAAAGTGACACTACATTCAGAAAACTACATTTAAAAACACTGCTGAGTATTTGGTTGAATACAGTTAGGTCCATATACTGTATATTTGGATGCTGTCACACATTTAGTCTTTTTACCTGTTTACTGAAACATATTCAAGTTATAGTTATATAATGTACATGGACATAAAGTCCAGACATTCAGCTTTCATTTGAGGGTATCCACATTAAAATTGGATGAAGGTTTTAGGAGTTTCAGCTCCTTAACATGTGCCACCCTGTTTTTAAAGGGACCAAAAGTAATTGGACAATTGACTCCAAGGCTATTTCATGGACAGGTGTGGGCAATCCTTTCATTATGTCATTCTCAATTAAGCAGATAAAAGTCCTGGAGTTGATTTGAGGTGTGGTGCTTGCATTTGGAAGGTTTTGCTGTGAAGTAAACATGCAGTCAAGGGAGCTCTCCATGCAGGTGAAACAACCCATCCTTAAGCTGCAAAAACAGAAAAAAAACCCATCCGAGAAATTGCTACAATATTAGGAGTGGCAAAATCTGCAGTTTAGTACATCCTGAGAAAGAAAGAAAGAAATCACAGGTGAACTCATCAATGCAAAAAGACCTGGGCGCCCATGGAAGACAAGAGTGGTGGATGATGGCAGAATAATCTCCATGGTGAAGAGAAACCCCTTCACAACAGCCAACCAAGTGAACAACACTCTCCAGAAGGTAGAAGTATCAATATCCAAATCTACCATAAAGAGAAGACTGCATGAAMGTAAAHACAGAGGGTTCACTGCACGRTGCAAGHCACTCATAAGCATCAAGAACAAAAAGGCTAGACTGGACTTTACTAAAAACCATCTAAAGAAGCCAGTACAGTTCTGGAAGAACATTCTTTGGACAGATGAAACCAAGATCAACCTCTACCAGAATGATGGAAAGAGAAAAGTATGGTGAAGGTGATCCAGCTCATGATCCAAAGCTACCACATCATCTGTAAAACACAACAGAGCAGTGTGATGGCTTGGGCATGCATGGCTGCCAGTGACACTGGGTCACTAGTGTTTATTGATGATGTGACACAGGACAGAAGAATCCAGATGAATTCTGAGGTATTCAGAGCCATACTGTGTGCTCAGATCCAGACAAATGTAGCTAAACCGACTGGTCATCGTTTCATGGACAATGACAAAACATAAAGCCAAAGCAACCCAGGAGTTAAAGCAAATAAGTAGAATATTCTTGAATGGCCAAGTCAGTCACTTGATCTCAACCCAGTTGAGCATTTCACTTGTTAAAGACTAAACTTSAGACAGAAAGGCCCACAAACAAACAGCAACTGAAAACCGCTGCAGTGGAGGCCTGGCAGAGCATTAAAAAGGAGGAAACACAGCGTCTGGTGATGTTCATGAGTTCAAGACTTCAGGCATTCATTGCCAACAAAGGGTTTTCAACCAAGTACTAGAAATGAACATTTTATTTACAATTATTTAATCTGTCCAATTACTTTTGAGTCTCTGAAATGAAGGATTGTGTTTAAAAGATGCTTTAGTTCCTCACATTTTTATGCAATCATTTTGTTCGACCTACTGAATTAAAGCTGAAAGTCCCTAACCCTTCAACTGCATCTGAATTATTTTGTTTAAAATTCATTGTGGTAATGTCTAGAACCAAAATTAGAAAAATGTCTCTGTCCAAATATACTGTATATGGACCTAACTGTAACTATGACATGAAAACACAGGGTGTCATACAATCCAGAACAAATGAATTGTAGTCATTTTGAGTCCAGAAACCCTTGAATTCAAAGAACCTTTGACTTTTGTTCAGTCGAACATGCAGATCCAGATCTAACCAGATATTTTGAGAAAAACAAATAAAAGCAACAAACAATGAAAGAGACATTTATGTTTAGTTTGAAACAATATCCTGTCGGCTCCAGGGGAAATGTTTTTTCTGTTTGAAATTACATGAATCAGCTCCTCAGGACAAACAGTTTGGTAAGGCTACACAGAAAACAAAAGGTGTTTATAAAACTACTCATGTTGGAGCTGTGTTGGTTTTGCTGCTACAGTAGAACAGGAGAATAAGGATTACAGAGTTCCTTATTAAAAACAGGATGGTGATTAAAAATGGAGTTTTTGGTGACTGGATGATCTATAGAAGTGTTGAACTCCTCTTCATGATAAAGCCGTGTTCCCTCAGACATTCCTCCAGTTTAGCTGCAATGAGCCGACACCTGCTGAGGCTCTGGACTCCAGTCCCAGCGCCACACATGCAGCATGTGGTCATAGAATGAGCAGGTGGCCAGCAAACAGGACAGTGAGGGGGCGTCCTCGTCAAGCTTGGGGGTTGGACCTGCAGCAGGACGGGTAGAGGGGGCAGTGCTTTCCTCTGGGATATATCGTCCCACATCGTCCTCCAGAGAAGTGTCGAAGCTGGCAGTGGGAGACTCATACTGGATCCGTAAATGTCCTCCGCTTTCTGCGAGACCTGCTTTTGACTCTGTGCCGGGTGGGGATTGAGGAGCCGAGTCCTCGAGGGACAGTCTGGACCAGTCTGCTCCGTATGCCAAGGAGTTGTGAAGGATGTAGGAGGACAGAACAGGACAGGACCCTCCATCGCCCTCTGAACACAATAAAACACACTGATTCCTCCAAATATGATTACAAACTTATTTTTAATGCCATTACTGAAAACTGAAGCGTAGCTTCTCCAAGTCTAACGCCAAACCTTTGGCCATCTCAGATCAAATCTGTTGTCAGGAACAAGTGGCTTTTCTTTCTTTTAATCAGGATTAAAACATCCTTTGGTCAGGAGCTTGAGTCAGTGCTTGTTCATTGTAACAGGCTCACTGACATACTGAAGACCAAAAGTGTCTGAAATGTTTTTGTATCAGAAATAATCTGACTGAAGCTGTCCACTGCTTCTTTCTGTTTCCTCTTCTTTCTTTTTACTCTGAATAAAAGACTTAGAGCAAAACACAAATGCTTAACGTGTCAACACTGAGACTTTTACACTTTAAATATTTAGATTTTATTTACAACTTGTTTTTCCCAAAATGAACAAAGAAATTAAATCTTTGAAAAGCTTTGTGTTCATTACAATGTACCACTGCTTGAAATATTTTAGCTCTTAAATATTTTTCTGCTGATATTACCTTCTAACTAACATTTTGCTAATATTAGCATTTAGCTTCTGTTTAGTTAATTATAGCTCTTAGCTACCGTGTTGCCAGTCTTAGTCTTCAGGCATTGTTTTGCTAATTCTAGCTTTCAACTATCATTTTGCCAACTTTAGAATTCAGCCACTGTTTTGCTAAATTTATCTTTTGTTTTGATGTTTTTCTTTATTATTTTATTCACCTTTATTTAATCAGGCAAAAGGCCTGGACGTGTTTTGTGGTCTGTGGGAGGAAACCTGAGCACCCGGAGAAAAGCCACACCAGCACAAGGACAACACACAGACTGCACACAGAGAAGACCCCCAGGACTCTGAAGCAGAGATTAAACCCAGGACCTTTTTGTTGTGAGGCGTCTGTTCGAACCACTGATCCACCGTGCTGCAGTTCTGATCATTTTATCYAAAAATGTTTCTTTTTGATGCTGGCATGATATCTTCATCAGATCTGTGATGTCCTTTATTCTCCAGAAACTGTCTCACACACACACACACACACACACACACACACACACACACACACAC